TTTCAACTAGTCAACAACGGTACTTCTTTAGATCAATTCCCTAATTAATTAATGTAACCAAATGTAACGACTCAAGCTCTACAACCTCTAATTTATATCTATATTTCGTAATGTTTATAATTAATTTATCGAATTGTTGGGCTCCGAGCATTGGCCGCGAAATTAGAAACATATTGATTAAAAAAAAAAAGAGAAAAAAAAAAAAGAAAAAAAAAGTCACTGCTCTAATCGATGAAAAACCGGATATCTGATTTCGATTCTGCAGAGAGAAATGCCGTTGAACACGAGGCCAAAACGAAGACGGGGATAAACGTTAGATTGATCCGCTCTCCCTTTTCCCTAGGACGCATAATGCGGGAAATGCGCTCCATCGGGAAGGCGAATACCTTGGCCGCGTGCCAGCAAGTTTTAACGTCAATTTGCAATAAAACGTAGGCGCGCTTTGACCCCGGGATTCTTCGTCCTCTGCGCATGTGTTTGTGCGCGCGTGCGCTCACCCACACGATCACACGTGGATTCGCCGACGCTTCGGCTGGGGAATGAGAGCAATTTTTTGTGGTTGCAAAAAAATATTACTCGCTCGAGCTTTCGCTCTCGAGAGCGAAAGCTCTCGTTTGGGCTTGTAAAAATAACGCTCCTACCTTCGGGATATTTCGATTGACCAATGCGCCCGGTATATCCACGAGCAAATCGATATTTAGTTTTATTCTCAATTATAATATTATTCATAAATAAATACAAGTCGTAAGGCGTATTATTTTACATTGAACGTTAATTGCCGCCATTGCGGGAGCAATGTGAATGCAATTTTGTGAATTATCATGTTAAATCGATCGAGCTTAGACACCAATGTAACCTCTATATTACTTAACCTCCAAATGCATTTGCATTATGCGGTCGGTAGATGATGAATAGTAAAGAGCGACGTTACGCGTATTATTCCAATATTCAAGAATTTGAGCTGCTGAATGTTCGTACGAATATCAATTTGCGAGCAAGATTATTCTTTAATGCGATGTCGTATGTGTCATTTTAATGGTTTATTCGTAGGGCATTATAAGCTTTACGAGCTCATTTAATTATTCCATCGAGATTCTCGTATGAAAAGGTCGTTCGTATAGTAGGAGATAAAGTAACTATCTGAGCGCAAACTAAGTATTAGATTAAATTTGAATGGAGTTCCAATTAAAAATAAACAAAACAAGTCGACGACCATAAAAGTAAATACGACTCTTTATCACAATGAAATGGTATAACTAAAGAACAATTAAAAGCGCATACAGAGTACAAAGATTGATGCTGCAAAAGCGTCAAAATCAAAAACATAAAAAGAGCTAAGGGAAATAAACATTGAGAGCGAAGCAGAGGGTCGGATGAGAACGAAGTTGAGAAAGGAAACGAAAGAAGTAGACGAGGGCAAAGGCGCCGTGGAATTAATTTCAAAGGATTCTCTCTCCGTCTGTCTTCCTCGTTTGGAGAGCTTAAATGGAATCTTTGGGGCACACGCAAAGAGCACAAGCGCCTCCTCGACAGCCATGAAAGTTATCAACTTCTTTTGTCCCTTTGTCCTCCGACCCACGTACACTTTCAGCCTGGCGAGAGGCTAACCAAAATTATAATGTACCCTCGCCTATTGAAATCGTATACTGTTTTATTGGGCGAAATTCAAATTTAATCTCCCATAAGATGCGCGTACAATGCCAACGGGCTCGCCATATTAATTAGTTGGGCTCTTGATAATTACTTTGCATTTGCATATGCTAGGTAGGGCCTCGTGCGCTATTCACGAAACTTGCGAATTTCGTCGATTTAGGACCTCGTACTGGGCAGTCGGTGTGTGTTGGCTTCCGTTTTTCTCAAACGTTGTTGGTTGAATTCTGTCTGTTTTTCTCCCTCTCTCCCTCGAAATTATGTTACTTGACTATTGTGGACGAATCCTTGGCGGGTGGCGGGGGGGCGGGTGGCGGGGGGGGGGTATCGAATTACTT